GGCTGCTTTTAACTCAGATTTCCTTGTTGTCAGACTCACAGAAAGCTGCAGGTTGACAGCTGTAACATGAGAGCGCATGGCCCGAGCCTGAGACACAGCCACCACGAACACACTTGAATACAAAATTATAATGACAGAAACTGGAACAATGAAAGTGACGATAAGGTCAACCACTTCTGTATTGAAGTTGACAACAAATATACATTCTCCATAACAGGTGTTGGACCGGCCTGGTTGAATCAGATCGTCCTTTAAAAAGAGAGTGCTGTAGAAAACAGAGCAGAACCAACACAAACACACACAGACTTTAACTCGGTTCTCAGTCACTCTGACTGGGTAATGCAGGGGGTCACAAATGGCCACGTAGCGGTCGATTGATATGAGCACCATGACCCCTATTGAAGAACTGGTGATGACCAAGGATAGATAAATATACAAAGAGCACAGGAGATCACCGAGAAACCAGCAGGAAGATTGTTTTGTGATTTCAGTCGGTATTAGCAGGACACCCACAAGAAAGTCAGAGAAGGCCAGAGAGAGCAGGAGGATGTTAGTGGGTGTGTGGAGCTGCCTGCAAGGAGACACAAATCAAAATGATTTAAATCAGAATAACCAACAGAACCAACAGAATACTGTCAAAATGGTGTTTTTCCAGCTATGGCAACTCAAACCGTCCATGAAACATTACCAATGACAAGCTAACATTTCAATGTAACTAAAACTACATTGTTGTGGGAGAAAGAGAAGTTAATCAATCTTTGGTAAGAAACAAAAACAAAGCTGCTTCTAAAACCTGAAATGGGAGACTGAGATGATAACCAGCAAGTTGAGAGCTGCGGTGATCAGAGAGACGCAGGAAAGGAAAATGTTCACGGCTAAAGGTTCAGACCAGGGAGGTGTTGGCTTTCGGCAGGATGAGTTTAGGAGATCCGGAAAGCAGAGCTCAGTTTTGTCTTGAGTGTGCATCATCTGAGAGCGGAGGACAGGTGAAGCTGTTGTGTCTGAAACTACCAGCTCTCATGCTACAGATTTATAAGTTTCCAATCTGTCTGACCTCCCCTTCTTCTCTCTTCAACCTTCAACTGGACATTATTGCTCCCCACTTTCAGCCATGAATGTTACACATTATCTACTGCACCGCACAAATCAACAATAAGTTCAACCAAATTATAGATGAATAAAATTATATTTCTTTGAATGTCCCCCTTCCCCCACTGGGCCTGCACACCTTTCCATGGTGAAAGCTACAACTTCTGCACAGGAGATGCCAGTGTCAGTCCAAACTAAGCAGGATTTAAACTACAAAGTGTACCATACCTATATTTGTGATGCCCTTGCTCTAAAAATGCTATTGTGGTAAGAAGAAGTTAGCAGATGACTGCAGATTTGTTTTCGGGGCAACGTACCACAGGTGTGCGGTACAGTGTAGTGCTCTTGGTTCATTTTTCATTCATCTTTCAGTTATTTGGGATTACTTTGGGGTTACTTTACTCAGCAGCAGCTGTTACTTTTGTGAGATGAGTTCCTTTTTCTGAGAGTTTAGCAGGGCATGCAGTACGTGGAGCCTGGTGGCCTCAGCCTAAACAAAAAGGCCCATTACTTCTACCTGATGTATCATTTCAAATTCTCTCATTTCATCTGGGTACCGATTCTAACAATTCTGTCATCTTAGCTCTCCTTTTATCCTCTGTACACATTTTACATCATTGTTAACTTTTTTCACGCCACTGATGCTTTAGTTTTAATGTCGTGACTGAGATACTGAGAGGAGAAACACCTCAATGCCCCCAAAAGCAGCACTAAGGCCCATGTTGTCACAGATTTAAGAAAGTCAAAGAAGTCATGTTTTGTTTTATTATTATTATTTTTGGCTTATTTCACTGTTAATTTGTCCAGGTGAAGCTCACTGTTCCTCTTGTTTTCTTCTTTGGCCATTCATCTGAATTAACTGACTACAGTAAAGCAGTTTTTTATTAGCAAATTTGATAAATTCTCACTGGTACAAATTTCTTTGGAACAGCATTAACTTATTTATGAGGAAATGGGATGTTGGGCAGCAGAAATGCTGTCATACTGCACTGATCTATGACTCCACAGTAAAGTTTCTTCTTACACTCAGCATACACCCTGGTGCTTAATTCACTGGAAACAATAGGAGCCAGAGAAATCAGGCTTTGCTGATGGCTTTTTTCTGTTTTGATTTTTGTTGGTACTTATTTTCAGGACTTTTAAAACAAAACCAGCACCTTCAGACATAAAGTAATAAGACAGAAAGCCTGGTGACTTGCAATAAGACAATGAATGATGCAAGAAACACAAAAGGGTATCACAGAGTTAGGTGTGAGAAGCCAATCATTTCTCTTGATGATTTTGGATTGATGAAACAGGTAAAAGTTTGATACAAAAACTGCAACGATTGTTGCATCACATCTTTGTTCGGTTGTTGCGTCGTGTGTTTTTCTCACACCTTCGATTCGATTGCGGCAAGATGTCATCATGTGACGCTCTTGCATGCAGGTGTGAACAAACGTCCTGTCTACGGGGGGATCGGCCCAGCTATGAGGAGCGGCTAATGGGCCACACAACACCGTTCACAGAGAAGTGTCATCAGCCCCGTGGGACTTCCGTGTGTTTGTGTAGAGGGGGCTGCTAATGATCACAGCATACAGGCATGTTTTGGAGGTTGACCCTTTAACGAAAGCAAACCTGTGTTAAACAAACAGCGATCTGTGGAGAGATGGATTTTCACAGCTCACTAATGAGCTCATCAAGCCCACACAAACACGTCTAAACAGGATACACATTAACTTTGTGTCAAACCGAGAGACCAAAGTTAATGTCAAATCTTTCAAATTTTTCTATTACTGCAACGTTGTTCTTTTTCTTTTGATATATGGTGTGTCACAGTGACTTCCATAATCTATTCAAAGCAACATCTTTTTTACAAACTTTACAGAGAAGCAGGGTTTGTGTTGAATAATGTTTCCACAACTCCAGATGCTCTGTGTACCAGGACAAAAACACAAAGAGAATGCATATTGCTGTTTCTCAAAACCAGGAATTAAGGCTCATACTAAACATTAACTCACAGTGCTTTTTGAGAGTCCTGCAAGAAAGGAATACATATCTTACTGTATGAAAGAGCTTATGTAGACATACACTTACTCAAAAGGCTCATTTAACGTTCATGTCCAAAAAACAATTTTGGTTGTTTCAATAGCCTAAAAAAATTAGCCCAAAATTCATGCTTTCACATCAAAAACATTTAGTCAATGAAAGAAGAAACATTTGAGCCTGACCTTTTTAAACCATGACCAACTCAAAGGATTTTTCTGTACTTAAATGGCAATATTACTGGTGGACTGTCCAGGGTGTACCCACCTCTCGCCCATTGACCACTGGGATGGGCTCCAGTTCCCCCTGCGACCCCATTAGGGAATAAGCCGTAACGATAATGGATGGATGGAAATGGCAATATTTTTTGTTTCATTATTGTTTATTATTGTACAATAACATTGAATATGAAAATAAATAAATCTTCTCAGTTCTCAAATTCACTCCGCATTCAGCCACTGCCATTGACTGACGTCATCATAATTGAATGAAGATGTTTAGTCTAGATTTGATGAGAACAGACTTCTATCTGTGGCCTGTGAACAGAACATAAAAGGGAAAAGTCGGCAGACAATGCGAGGTGAACTGAAAAAACAAACTATTGACAAAACAAATGATTTAGACTGGAGGTAAAAATGTCCCTAAAAATGTCCTTTTTGAAGGGACATCGTGTGTTCTCATCACGGGGAAGGGAAAATAATGAAAAGGAGTTCATGTGAACAGTGTTTTTTCATTACAATGAAACGAAACACAGTCCTGATGTGATCCAAAGGTCCCACTTCCTGGAGCTTCATGGATGGGGGTGGACTTTTGTCCGTGACAGGATCCGTGCGCACTTCGGACACCTTTTCTCCGCAAAACAGTGCTTGTGAAAGCACGTCTTGCACACTGTTAAAAGGGGAAATGTGTCAGTTGATTCTGGTATTTTCCGCTGTGGGATGCATGTTCCTGGACAACATACTACTTGTTCCCCCTTCTGAGAACACCTATGGCTTTGAGTTATCAACATACACTAAAACATACTAATAGATTTTTTTGCCTCTTCCGATGGGGGTTTAATCAATAGAATGAGTTCATTAGAATTTTAAAAATTTTGCATTGTGAGAAATGTTCCTTTCTGTTGGGAGGGCCTGTTTTTTTATTTAGATGATCTCACCTTTACAGCGCTTGCAGAGGTTGCTCTGAAAAGGAAAGATGACGTCTTTTTCTCTGCAAATCTCGCAGAGAAAACCTCTGGCCAGGCACAGCTGTACGAGAGTTAAAAAAAAAAGCCAAAGAGGTTGAAAGCTGGAATTTCATTAAAAAACATGCGTGGATTTTTCCACCTGGAGCTGAGGGACAGCGTGCTCCAGACTGACCTGGCAGGTTTGGACGTGGTCCGTGGCGGAGTGCAGCACCAGCCGGAGCTGAGGCACCAGCTGACCCTTCTTCACCCTCAGGAGGTCGTCCAGGGAAAAGAGGAGTGGTTGCTCCACCAGGTGAGCAGGAAGATGCTCAAACTCAGCCAAAGCCCTGTAATACGCAGAAGAGGATACAGTTCCATTACTATAGCTCTAAATGGATTTTAATTATGAGATCAAAGGTTAAAATGGTGATAAAATCTGAGTATTGATTTCAGAGAGAAGTACGTTACGGACCCCATATACTGTAAATATCCGTGTCTGTCATTATAAGAAATTAGAGATTTGCTTTCCTCTTTTAATTGTTTAGCATTGTTTAGTAGTAAGAATCTACCTTTCTGATAATCTACATATGTCCAGCAGCTTCCTGATGCCTATCAGCTGCTCCTGGAGTTCCTGTTGGAAACATGAAAAGAGGAAGAAAAAACATTTTTTGGTTGATTCGTATTTGTGTGTGAAGTGGTTTGACGATTAATTCATTAGATTTTTAAAAAGATGGAATGTATGAGGGATCATGTTGTTTTCTAAAAAAAAAAAAAAGTAATCAAATTTAATTTTGTTTAGATTCATTTATATATATATAAGCCTGATTTAGATGAAAAGGCCATTGTGAAAGGCCTCTACAGTCAGCTTATCACCTCATCTTTTTCATTATTTGTATTGCTTTTTTGACACAGTGTGCTGAAACTAAGATACAAACAGTTATCCCAATAATTCCAATCTTTTCCTCACTCTGAACTTGTCCAGCTCTTTAACTTTGCCACACAGCGTCCTGCCCACACAGGTCAGGTCAAAGAGAGGCTGGTGCCACACAGACTCCAGCAGCTGTTTGGAGAAATCGCTCACAGAGTACCTGCAATAAGAGGAGCAATTTAACCCAAAGCCCATCTGTGTGAGCCCATTTCACTGTAATGTACAGCTATATATAAAGATAGATAGATAGATAGATTTACTTGCTAAAGTCCCAGGAGGACAGAACCCGTCCAGGAATCACAGCCTCGGAGCCACTATGGCAACAGTCACAGAAATACCTGCCAAAGGAGTTAATAAAGAGAGCTAATAAAGAACTACCAGTGTGTGAATTCGGAATATGAATTATTGTTTTATTTCTTACTGCATGAATTACCACTAACTAAGCTCCATTGCATTTTATTGTGCATACCTTCCCAGGTACTCACAGTACCGGAGTTTCTTGATGTATCCTGATGGCAGAAAGAGAGGCTAAAATCAATTTGAACCTCTGATTAAATGTTTTTTTTTAATAGATCCACATCTATGCGCAACTAAATCCTAAATTCAATAAGAATTTCTGCACAATTCTCTTCTCAATTTTTAGTTTTGATTTTAACAAGGAGACTCTGGGAAAATAATCATTCTGTCTTCATCCGCTGTTGGTATTCTTGTTCATTCCTGCTTATGTGAAGCCCTCTTAGTGTGGATTAACTGTGTTTTTTAAATTTCAACCCCTACAAGAATCCAAAATGCTGATTCAGTGTGATCCACTCACTGGGCTCCACCGCTGTCCCACAGCCTGCACAGAGGAAGTTCTGCAAAGCTACCACTTCACTGCGTCTGGAGGAGGAAAACACAATCAGCGGAAAATGAGCCAATCATTGTCGTCCAAGAATAAAAACCCTCTCTGAAGAGACCAAAACCTGTGTGTTGGCTGAACGGTGAAGATGATCTGGAAACGCGGAGGCGCCCAGTTCAGAGAGCCTCTCATCCTGGTCCTCAACCGGATCTCTTCTGCCAGATGGCAGCTGCTCACCGCCATGACCCCAGTGCCCGGCAGCTGGTAACAGTAGAGAGAGAAGTAAAATGATCGAAATGAGGAAAACTGCTTAAATGCTCAAAAGGAAGGAAGTTTTGAGAACTGATCATCTTAAAACATGGTAAATAAAGCGTAAGATGTGAGTTCATAAGAAATGTAACACAAAAAATCATTAAAATATCAAAATATGATCTAAAAAAATTAGAAACAGCCGTATAACGCCGTGTTTAACTTAAAAAACATAGTTCACTTTCAATAGATTACAGAAAATAAAATGATGTTTTTTGCCTACTAATGAAAATAATCTATATTAAGATGAAAAATACAAATTTTGCAGTATGAATAGGTCTCTATAGCATATGTAGCCTCCTGAGACCCGGCCCATTGATTTATGTCAATAAATCAATGTTTCTTTTTTTAAATATATGTGCATCACTTTCAACTTTATTTTTTAAACTGTGGACCCTTTTCCAGGTCTTTGAAATACGGTGTTAAAATGAAGGCAAATGCACTTTACATTTTTATACACTGTCACAACTTTTTCAGAATCGAGTTTCCACTTTGAAATGAAACCCAGTTGTCAAATAACTTGGACTATTTGTGGTTACTATGTTCTTACCTCCTGAAGGGAGCTTCGAAGACTTTGCCGGCCTCGCCCAGGCCAGTGGGAAGGAAGCCATCTCTTTTTGAACTCCAGGACCAGCTGCCGGGCTAACCAGTCTGCACTGCAATTATGGAGCATCATATTGAACATTTAGCCATCATAAATCAATACTCTAATGTAGATTTTGGGATCCATGTTCACCAGCAATAGTTTCTTACTCTGTGAGAGATTCTGTTGGCATCAGTGTTGTGTCCGGTCCACTGTCTGTAACACACACACAAACACACACACACACACACACACACACACACACACACACACACACACACACACACACACACACACACACCATTCACACATTATGCAATCAGGTTTTCATTTTTTCCCCAAAAGTTTGTCTCCACTGTTATTCGGTAATGATAAAGGACGCCCTCTGGTGGTCTTTATTGAGAATGCAGGTGTAACGCTGGTGAATGGGCTTCATTTTTGAAGCAGGACACTATGCCAATTTCATTTTACATGAATATAAGACCAGCACTGGATGCTGCTGATAACCTTCTATTGAAATCATTACTTATTTGGGTGGGACTCATTTGCAAGTGCACAATGGAGATCGTCCTTACCTTCAAAGCCACTGTCAGTGGAGAGCACAGAGAAAGTCTTAATTGGATGTGCAGCCTCTTCATTCCCGGATTCCTCATCATCTCTACTCTGTGTGTGCTGGTTTCCACAAGAGTAGTGTCTGTGTGTGTCTTTGTTTGATGTCATCTGTGTGGTGTCAGCTGTGCAGCTGCCCTGTGCATCTGTGTGTGTGTCACATGTCAGTTTGCCTTCCTCTGCTTGTGAGCGGTTCTGACACTGTTTGTGTTCATGAGGGTCCGTCACGGAGGTCCACTGATCGGAGCTCAGAGTCCACTTTGCACCTTCGAGCACCTCCAGTACCATGTCCACCACGATGAAATGAGCGTTTTCCTGCATACCATCAATTACACAAAAAAAAGCATCTTCTTTATCAGCATCACATACAGTACCATAGCTCTATTTCATTTAGTCAAAAACTTTGATTCTGGAAATTTGAATAAAAAATGTTATATACTAATTTATATATATACATATATATACATATACATCAAGTGTAACGTTCTCTGCCCAGACACAATTCGAGATTATTTGAAAACTGAAACAATTGACACAGAAACTGAACCATTTGAATAATTTGCAAAAAGAAAACTCAAACCGGAAGACAGTCACCCACCTTTTCCAGCTCACAGCTGGTCTTGAAGATGTCTGCGGGGAAATCTGGGTTAGCACTGCAACTTCTCTTCTTGTTCGGTTCTTTGACGTTGAAATAAACATGAAGTTAAATGCTCATTCAATAAAAAAGACATTTAGCAGAAACTACTTGTTAGTGGTTAATTAGGGAAACTGCTTTTACACAACCCACTTTTATATTTTTTTACTTATAGTGTAGTGCACATATGGCAATGGCTATTAGCTAGAAAAAGAAACAGATCAAAGACAACAAAGATCCAGATTATTAAGATCTATTTCACCTGTCTTGTGAGTGGTAACGCAGTTACTTTGGCTCCGGTTTCTGTGCTGTTTGGCCAGTCTGTGCTGACCAACGCGGGGAAGGATGTGATCACTCTGGAGATCGTCTAGATTCGACGCGAAAGAAACCCGCTGCTGCTTTTCATCCACCTGGGCTGGAAATGAGCTCTGACCGGAGCTCCATTTGGACCTCAGATCCTCCATACTGGTGGCTGTCTGACCCCCGTGGTGTCCAGGAGACAGAGAACAAGAGGAAGGAGGCGTAGAGTCCAACCTGGAAGGCATAATGTTTCACTTTTAGTTTGTACAAATAATCAAAAGCATTTCATCCAAAAAGGGTCATTCTTTTGAAGTGAGTCTTACTTGCAGATGTAAATACAGTTAATGAGTTAAAATGTCTGCAGAGGTCAAAGGTTTCTATGCTTGAGGCAATGGCAATTTCTTCTGTACGAGGTTTTTGAAATACAAATGTAACATCCGAAATTCAGCCATTCTTTTCGTTTCACTTCCGTTCTTTGGTGTCTGTAATAGTGGACATTCATTCAGTTTAAATTGAGTTTTTTGTTCTCTGAGAGGTTTATCAAGTTGCTCTTGTTCCTAGCCCTCTGTTCTTTAACTGTGAATTTCAGTTCAAATGCCATCTGAGGACATTTCTTTGCCCTCGCATGCCATAAACAGATAATGGGGGCTGAAGCCTTTCTGGCCAAACACCTTTAATTAAAACAATCGGTTTAGCTTATTGACAATATTTACCTTTCAAATCAGTACTGAATCTCACTCTCAGTTGTTATTTTTGAGGCTGAAGATGTTCAAGCATCGTTTGGTGCAGAAAGGGGAACAAGTACTCTCTCACTTGAAATAATCCCCTTTAAACAGTGTCAGCTTGAGTTTCACTGCAGTTAAACAATAATATAATTTTTCTCTATTTTTTGGTGTTTTATACACAGAATTATTATTTGAATAAGCATTTTGATAATGCTGCTTTCAGCTTAATTGAACTCATGAAGTGGAATATAAAACTAGCATGCTTGAGGTTTTGGAATATCTGATTTAAATGATGCAGCACAGATGATTTTGTGTTGTACAAATTAAATAATTGTTAAACCTTCCAAACTGATACTAACCCACAACACACCTGTAGCCCTGTGGCTGTCAGTCTATTTTTTTTTTTTTTTTTTTACAAATGGCTAAGACATAAAAAAGGTCAGAAAAGGTACTGTGGTCTGTGGTTTTTTGGACACAACAGGAGCTGCTGTGCCCAACGTCACCACTGCAAAGCTGCTTCCTGCCTAAAGATCTTTTTCAGGTTCAGCGGAAACTAACATGAAAACACTCAGTAGTAGTTAAAAGCTTTAAAATATTAAATGTCTATAGCATGCTGCAACATTTGTCGCCAGATGAATGAAAATGGAAAATACGATGCGCGTCACAGGGCAGAAAAGTAACAGGTTGTGATGGAGGTTTTATGGATTAAATTAAATAAATATTTGGAAGACATTTGCTGGTATAATTCAAATGTAACATGAAAGTCATTGTTTCTCCTTTTTTAATACCAGAGAATGCAGTTTTCATGGTAAATATAAATCTCTGTATTTATCATCTTAGTTCCTGTTTCTATTCCTCAGCAGCTCGGAGGCGACCACAAAATGTTCATGACTTTAAAGTGTCTGAAATGGCAAACACTGTGAGTCACAAACAATAAAGCCTACGACATGGAGAGAGACGGTATTCACTACAAATGTAGGTTATTTACTAGACTTTCTATCTCAGTCACTGGGCTAAAAATAGCATCCCCGCTTAAAAAAGTCTTTGATTGGAAAATAAATGGCATGTTAAAAAAAAAGGCCACTCCTTTTACTCCCCAATTAGATGAGAAAACATAAAGATATGAAAGGATTTGTCTTTTCAAGTGCCTTGAAAAACAGTTTCAGGATCTACAAACATTAACCAAATGAATTAAAAGTGTTCATATGCACAAGTATTTTATTCTTTTCTTGCCAGTCCCAAATAAAAAAGTAGAATATGTCTTTTTCTGTTGCTTAGACTGAAGCACATGTTCACAAAAAGGAACAGAACCCTACATTTTCGCACTTTGGAAGATATTTAAAATAAAGAAATGTGAATATAAATTATGTTGCGTTTATAACTTAACAGCTCATTGTATCCATTAATTCTTTAAGGCCTGCCTTCCAAAGATTTGAAGTGTCTCTCCTATGGTACCATCTAGTGGAGATGCCAGAATCATGCAGCTTACTAAAACACTCCATGGTCATGAGTCACTATGTCCATTTGCTTTTTCTTATTCTATTGTTTCCATATGTTCTACCTTTGCTGTATGGAAAGTTTAAAAGGAATCAACTGTATCTACCTTGGGGGGTTAGAGGGATTGTTTCCTCCAACGTGCCAGGAACGCGGCCGGTGACGTTTGGAGATGACCGGGCTGCTCCTGGGAAGCAGGACTTTCCCATCGTTGAGCTGCTTCGTGGATGTTTCCTGTCTGTTGGAGGCCTCAGCCTCCAGAAGCTTTGGGTGCCCCTCTCGGCCTTTGAGGATGCTGTCATCATCCTCACCTTCATTTATATGAAAATCAGTGACTTTTTCAGCCTTCTGCACAGCATCACTGGGCTGCTGCTTCCATACGCAGTAGTTGTTGCGGCCTTTATGTATTGCCTGTGAGCATTGGCTGGTTATTGTTGTGTTTTCTCTTCCTGTGCTGCTTTCTGGCGGTGACATAAGGAGAAGTGGGACAGAGCCTGAACCGGCCGACAGTTGGTTTTGATGAGCAGAATTTTGTGGAGCTGCAAACAGAAAGCAAGATGGAAAGAGAAGAGAAAAAGGTACAAACAGTCAACATAAATATGTTAAACTGACCCTTTTGGCCTCAATGTGCCCACTTTTTAAATTGCACCAATTTTTTTTTTTTTTCACATATTAAAAATCTATAGAGACATTTAAAATGTCTATATACATATTAACTATACATACTAAAAAACACATATATATACTAAAAATTATATGAATTAAAAAAATATGTATATATATATATATACACACATTAAAAATATAGAGAGACATTTAGAATGTCAAACTACTAACCCAAAAATATCAACTAAAAAACTAACAAAAAATATTCTATATTCCAGGAGGTTTTCTACAGTTTTTACCATACGAAAATGCGGTCGTTCTCAGACATCTGTGTGTGTTGATGATGGTGCATACAGAGTTGAAACAGTGAATGTGTTTCCCATGCTCACCCGTTGGGGTTGCTGTTGCAGAGGCCGGCAGCTCTGCTGTGTCCACACACCAGCTGATGTACCTGCAGCCGTAACCGGAGGAGGACATCTCTCTGCAGCTCACCATCTGGACAGAAAGAAAAAGGTCTCCCCGTCAGAGGTTTAAAAAAGCCTGCCTTCCCACCGCGCTGGCAGCTGGGGAGAGGTGGTCACGCTGAAACGTGCTGCTGTGCATTATGTCCAAACACCTCTGCTTTCATCTGATATGTCCACAGAAGGCTGTTCCAGAAGTCTTTTGGTTTGTTCAGATTCAACTTTGCAAATTTAAGCAGAGCTGTCAAGTTCTTTTCAGAGATATGGAATGAAAATGCCGGGATGTACACTGAGAATATCCTGATCTTTATTTATGATTGACTCGAAGCAGTTTTTTTTCTTTTTCACTTCCACCTGTGAACAATTTACAATCCCGCATGGGAATTTCAGACAAACACTTTACTTACAGGAATTGAATAAATAAACCAAACAAACAGCAATGTAAGCACTTAGCATTGTTAAAAGGTTCCTGTTTTCCAGTCAACAAATAGAGCACTTTTATAGCTTTTTTTCTATTTTTATACACCTCCTCATGTGTACTCACTCAGGGACAATTTAGATGGTTGATGGTTGTTTTGAACCCCAATTTAGAACAAAATGAGAAGCTAAAGTCTGACAACTAAAAATACCATTCTGTTTTGAAGAGTAAATGTTAAAGTAAATGTGAAATCCCACTTCAACTACTTTGCACGCTTCATGCTTTAAACAGCTTCCTGTTTAAGTGCAGATGTAGACTCCGATTGTGAATGATAACATCTTTAAGATGTCTTTATTTCGGCTTACACATCCAAAAAGTAAAAAACTCCATCACCTCTTAGATCAGAACCAGCTGACCAATACCGAAAACTCACCGGGCCTCTCGCGGTGTGGTGAACTTCTGAAGCAGGAAACCTGTCCGAGTGGCTGAGACGCGTCCCCTTCCAGCACACCAGCAGCAGCAGCAGAAAGGAAGAGAGGGGGCCGATTATCAGCACTTCCTGTATTCACCAGTGTTTTTCGTTCCTTTTGCAGCTGAACAACTGAGGTTGTTTTTTTCAGACGGCGGATTTACAGCCAAACTCTTCTGGTTTCTCCTCCACAACATTGATTACAAACCTCCCCAAAAAATGGACCACGTTTCAAAGTTAGCTTTTATCTGGAAACATTTTCAGTTCAAGGATATTTCTTCATACAACAGCTTAATTTCTTTGAATACATTCCTTAAGGCTGGAAACATTTCCACACTCAGAATAAAAAAATAGCTGTGAATGAGAAAGATGTTCTGGTTTACACCCACGTCATCGGTAAAAGTCATGGAGCAAGGCCACAGGTCACGTTACTCATCGACAATTCAGCTTAAAAGACTTTGTTCAGCAGAAACATCTCTCACGAACATCTCAGTGCTCAGTGGGCCGATGTGCTGTCACAACAGCTGAAAGAGGAAGTGTAAGTCTGAGCCGAGTATCTGTGGCTTTGACCAAACTTCACAGTACTCTGATGGATATTTTGTGAGAAGCAGTGTTTGCTGCTAAACGTGTGTGGTCGCGAATTGTCAGTAGACGTTCCTAAAAGCTATAAATACAAACACAAAATGGAAAGCTAAGCAATTATCGCACAATAATAATGAACTTCAAATCCTTACTTGATATGAACACTGAATTCTCCAACGCAGGCTTAACCCACTCCCAAAAACTGTGTTTCCTTTATTTTAGGAGTCTTCATTAATAGTCCTCCAGGCTTCTTGAAGGACTTCCCAAAGCTTTTCTTTGGATGTCGGCTACCTTTTGTTCCATTCTCTGTCAGAAGATCCCACACTGATTCAGCAGTCCTCATTTTTTCCACTGTCTCCTTTCAGTACACTTCACATTCTTCTGAAAAAATCCCATTTTGAATATCTGAGAGACTTCTCTGCAGCACATTCCATCACACTCATTTGTGGAGGGATCTCCACAGAAAGCTGGATGGAGTAGAATATCTTTCATTTTTTATTCTCAGAGTTTAATGTCACGACAATATGCATTGTTTAGTCAATTAGTTAGTCAACCCCAGTGGTCGTGGTGGACTGTGGTCCAGTTAAACTGGTTGAACTGTCATTCAGAATCAGAATCAGAAATAACTTAATAATCCCAGATAGATATATTTTTTTTTTGTGAAAAAGCAGCATTTGAAGGAAATTAGGTCATTTTATGCTCAATGTGCATTTTTGGAAAGTCAGCAGTAGTAGTGTGAGGACAGTAGGAGAGAGGGGTAAGAGTGAGTAATTTCAGAACAGCTGGGACATTTTTAGAAACTGACCACATTCTTTAAAAAGTGCTGACATTTTCCAAAAGATGACAGCTGTTTTATAAATCTAAGATGATCATTGTTTTAACAAAAAGGAACCACATTGTTTACTCAGACAGGGCCTTTTGGAAAGTCCTACAGACGTGAGACGATATTTCCAGAAATTTTTTTTCTTCGGCTTTTTTTTCAATGAGGAATACAAAAAACAAACGCAAATCAGAAGGTTGGAAGGTTGATGAACAAAAAGAACCAATTTGCATGAGACTGACCTTTAGAGTCCCTTAAGTTTTTTCATCTTGGCTTTTCTACTCTTTGCTCAAACCTCTGTTGATGAATCACACATAACTGTACAAGTTTGACTTACTTCCAGTTTAGCAGAGTGTAGTTGTAAAAAATTATTGGGATTTGTGCAATTGTGTAGCAATGTCATATGACAACTGTGATAGTCATCTCACTGGCTGTATGTTAATTACCAATTTGTAGTTATAATGTTTCAGATGTTTCAGAGATCCACGTAGGTTTAATATAGGATATTTGTGATCAACCAGAAACTAAATGGCTTATAAATAGTAAACATTACATTTCAAATCAGCAGCCATGGCCAGCCACAAAAAGTCCAGAGACAGTTGTATTTTATAGGCCTTAAAGAACTTTGAAGTTTCCAAAAGCTTGGTGATTTAAATAAAAATGCTGTTATATAGGCTATAGCCTTAAGATTGAAGTGAGTGATGAATTTATGAAATACTGTCATGATTTCACTATGTGTCTCAAACGAGCAAAGTCTGGAGAACATTTCTGACTGAAAAATATTGAAAAAAAACTCTTTCTCTTCGACCCAGAGTGTAGAAGATTACGCAGAGGAAAGACCAGATATAACTTGCTAACGTCGCTTTTTGTCCAGCAGAAGTCGCCGTTCACCAAATCAACGCCTGTTTGTTTTGCTCTGCAGATGTGAGATCCACTGCGCAGCCGCAGTGAGTTGCTGTAAAAAACGTTGAACGACTTTGAAAGACAACCGGAAACATGGTGGGGTATCCTCAACACTATGGCTCTATCTTTTTTTTTTATTGGGATTTATTTTGACGTAAGACACTCAATGGACAGGCCAGTCCAAAATATGCATACTCACAATACATTTTAGGGTCAGTTTGGAGTCACACACACACACAAGATATGCTGCCTTTGCTAGATAAGCATGTAAACAGCATGTAAACAGCATGTAAACGTACTTCTAATTTTATAGTCTTCTGTCATTTCTGGGCAATTTCATCTTATGAATGAAGTTGTTACAAGTTTAGTTTCGAAAGCTTATTGCGAAATTCAAAGGTCACTCACAAGCAATGTCCAGACCAAACATTGAGTTCTCACATTTTATTGTGAAAGGGGCTAACCGGATGTTGACCCTTCCTGTGTTTCCGACGCTTCACGTACCGCGCAGACAGAGAGGAAGACGCGGCGGCGAGCATCAGGGAGGCTTCAGACCGCGCGGCACGGTACGGCACGGCACAGCACGGCAAACCGGGGGAAGTCCAGCTGTTCGCCCGCACCGAAACGAATCCCCCTGGATATCACCGACGCGCGCGCTGCGGAGCGGAGCGGAGGAAAAAATTATGGCGACGTTGGGACCTGAGTCGGCTCGCCCTTCTCTCGCCCAGCTCGGATCCTCTCCCTCGATTCAGACCCACGTCGGCTGCGGCAACCTGCCTCCCAACCGGGGCTTGGAGCGGGCGCTGGAGGAGGCGGCGGCCAGCGGTGTCCTCAACCTCAGCTGCCGCAAACTCAAGGAGTTTCCCCGGACGGCCGCCAACCACGACCTGTCGGATACGACGGAGGCAGGTAGGGAGCTCTGTGGCTTTTTAGAGCCGGGACGTTTTTTAAAACACACGAACGTGAGTGGGGCGCCGGTCCGGGGCGGTAAAAGACTTGTTGTTGTTGTTGTTGTTGTTGTTGTTTTTTTGGAGCATTGTGGTAATTATTTACAGCTGCGACGTTGTCGTTATTCACTTTAAACACACTAACGGTTTGTGCGCGAGCCTGCCGCCGTCCAGATGCGTTCACGAGCCCTGCGATAGCGACGGGATTTATGGTGGAAATCACTCGTGGGAAATAAAGGCCCCAAAGTTCCCGACTTCCAGTAAATGGCAGTGGGCTGGAGTGAAAGTGGGCACAGGGATCAGCCCGTTCACCGTGGGCCCTCCGTGGAAATCCCCACCGCTTCCCTTTTATCCATATGAGTTGTAAACGAGCATGGGATGCAGGATGAACCCAGATACTCTAATTCTGTGCCCTTTTTTTGATAAAATGCTGTTTTTTTTCTAGACACAAGTCCCAGTGATGTATTTAAACTTTCATTTTCATGACATTTAGGTGTAAATGTGTTGGTTAAAACGCAGAACCATGCTCCTCTGGAGTGTCAGATCCTTTTACTTTTGGTTTCTCCTGATAACAGGTTCCCTATCAGGGTTCACATTCTGCTATCAGGGCAGTTGGCTTGAAGTTGGAGCAACATTTCTCCTGACTTAACCTTCACTGAGGAGATCAAGTTGCCTGGTTCTTCACTCTTTTACAGCAAGGCAGCTTCCAGCCACTTGAGAACCAGGAGGCTGACTACCTTCTGCTTGGAGAGCTGTTGTTTTTCTTTTTTGGACGGGAGGTCTGAGCCTGTCTCGCCCCTAAAGCCGACCCCGGGGCCCTCATCCACGCATGCGAACGGCCTTCATCCGCACATCCTCTTGCATTATGGATCCACAACACTGAGATTTATTATGGATTCACGATGTTTAGATTCGGAGACGACTGGTGTAAGCTGATTTGCCTCGATGTGCAGGAAATCAGCCGTGACTCTGCCCGAATTCTGACGTCCCGGCTCAGGGCACGTGTGTCCAGCTTCTGACATAACAGTTGATCCGGGGGCTAAACGCCGGCTGCTTGTGGTTTCTCAGTGAGCAGCACATTTTCGTCAGGGGTCAGACCGAGGAAGGCCGGCTTACGTAACTGCAGCGGCGAGGGGACAGCACGCCGTGCGCTGCTTACGGAGCCAAACGTCTCTCCGGGGCCGTTATTCTCAGAGACGTTTTGGCTGCTTCTGTTCGGTATCAGTGTCTCTCTGGGAAGTTTCAACTCGGGACACGTAATCCGGCTTTCATGACTGGACTTGTCTGCGTCTTCAATCTTTCCACGTTGGGATCTAAGATTTGTTTTCTTTTCAGCTTGGGAGGTTTCTAATTTCACCTGCTGCTTCCTCGCTCAAACCCGTCCATCTTTAGGCGTCTTTATCCATACACCCCTCCACTTTTTGCCATATTTGTTTACCTCGGTTTCACACTAAGTGAGCGGGACTCTTCCCCCGCCTGCGTTAGATCGATCAGACTTTGCGGCCTGACGTGTCCCGGTTTGGGCCCGAGCGGCGCCGGCTGTAGTGCAGATTCCTCAGCGCTGGAAGACGGAGTCATCTCTGATCACACGGCCACTGCGACCAACCTCCCCCCACCCCCATCCCCCCCATGAAACGAAATTAGATGAGACAGAACAGAGTGAGTCACTGTGACGGATGAGCACGTGGTGGGCTGCTCACGTACACCCCCACACACACACACAAACACACACACACAAATAAAACTGTATATATGAAAGCCAGCAGCAGTGCAGGGCTGCAGTTTGCCCCGTTTGCATGCGTTTAAAAGCACATCCGAGCCCAGCTGCATATCTACAGCCGCACAGGCCTCAGCTTGTCCAGGAGCACAAAGTGGAGCCGGCTGCCGTGCACTTTCCTCCCACCAATCAAGGTGCACCATTTCCCTGCCCTGTGCCCCTGTTTTTAAAGGCGCTCGCCGCTCAGGAGGAGCAGTGTTGGATTTGGGGTGGGATACGGGACAGAAGAAGCCACTTTTTCAGCCTCTTGTCCTCTTTGCAAGAGAGGTCCCTGCACGCTGTCAGTTCAAAACTGGTGAGAGCAACATAGTTGAGAGTAAAAAAAAAAGCGAAAGAAAGGGTGTGCAGTGTTTTACAGGAAGTCTTAGCGATCCGATGGGCATGAGGAAAGCACCGAGCTGGCGGTGTTTGCCGGGACTTCACAGGTAGATGCTATCTCTGGTGTCCAGAAACAGAGAGGTGATGGGCGGTGGAGGGGGGGGTGAAGTGACTCCCGAAGCCACCCAACCGGTCCGTCTGCCTCCACCTGTGGGGGTTTCAGCCAAACAGCAACCGCCACACCGTGACGGAGTGTTTTGGAGTGTGTGTCCTTTAACCGCCAGCATAAACACGGGGCTCGACTCGGACGCTGCAGGGAGTCCAGAAGGAGGGCGTGTCTCCACGCGGGCGTTGGGGCGGGCTGGCGTTCTGTCCCCGGCCCGCTGGGTTCTGACTTTTGCCCGAACGGTGTCAAACCTCCTGTTTCTGCAGGGCAGTTTCAACCTCCGACAGACCTGCGACACCAGGCAGCTGCACAGTCAGAGCATCAGCCGGACCGATGCTGCCTCTGTTTGGAGAGGAAACGATAAACAACGCGACACTCTGCTCTAATTTTAGTCCTGAGGGAGGATTTAAATACTTTTGTCTGTCAAAGCTTATGTTCCCTTTACAACGCATTTGTTATTTCGTGCTATTTTTACTTTGTTTTGAGGCTATTGATGCCGTTGGGCTGGTATGAACCACATCTAGAGTGCACAGAGGATCTGTGTGAGAGCGAGTTGAAGGCGTGTTTGGTGTTGGGAATACAAACGACTGCAGAGGTGTTTGACCGACGTCGCTAATGCGTGGGACGGACACCTAACGTGTGCCTGAGCTAAGATGGGCCTCCTTTAAGTTGGCCGGCCTCACTTCCTCCACCTCACTGCTCTTCCTTCCCTGTCATCCACCACACACACACACACAACACACACACTCACACACTCACACTCACACAGGATGCTGTGGATTTTAAGGAATGTGTTGGGGTGTGTTTGGATAAATGAGGGTCTATCCGCTCAGTGTTCCCGCCGCACCTGAATGTAACGACAGCTGGCACGGAAACACACACACACACACACACACACACACACACACACACACACACACACACACTGGCTCTCTCTCTCTATTATCTGAATGCTCTGATTAATGGCAGTGTCTGTGGAAGTGGGTTCAGCCTTTGGGAACAGTCTGGACGCATTGCCTAACCTTGACCTTTTAACCTTATGAATGTGAATTTTAGGGACCCCCTCCCCGCCGCCTCAGGCTTCACCTCAAACCTCTCCATATCGATTTGTAGGCAGAGGGGTGGTAAGAGGGAGCGTGAGGGCCTCATGCATACTGAATGAAGCAGTTAATGGAGCAGTTAATGGTTTTCCCTCTGAAGGATGAACAGCTACAGACTAACCAGCACAGCTGAGAGCGGAGACACAATCCAATGCACCAGCCTCCCAGAATCTGATCAGAGCAGAGACCCACTCTGTCAGGGCAGTGCAAAAACCATGATGATTTAAAGCTAGTAGGATTTCTTAGTATTCTTTATGGTTACATAGTTATTTGCAGCATTAGAGGTATTTGAGGATGATAGAATCATGATTGGTAAGGTTGAAGGGGGAAAAAAACTCAGTTTTCATGGCTTAATTGTATTGTTCAGCAACAGACAGGGAAACAAATGCCACCCTCAGAGCCCACGGAGTCGGGATCGGATTGTTTGTAGTGACAGTTTGAGGTGGTCCCGTCAAGGCCGAGATGCTGGTCCACTCCCCACCGCAGGGACGGGAAGCGACCGCTCCCCACCTCATTGTTTTCGCCTCAGATCTTTTCCTGTTTCAGACACCAAACAGCTCCACCCTCTCAAGGAGGGAAGGAGTTTATTTTTCGTACACACACTTAATGTATAAGCGGACGTCTCTGGGAACGAGAGCGTAAACCACGAACCCGTCCATCTAGAGTCTCTTCAGGTGCAGAAAACTACATTAAAGACAGTTGCTTTGCTGATTTTGTTGTTAAAGGGACTAGGGTTGTCACGATACTAAAATTTTCAACTCGATACCGATACTCAGGAAAATACTCGATACTCGATACCATTTTCGATACCACAAGGATAAAAACAAAGACCCCAAAATGTAACTGAATTTTGACAGGTTAATGTCTTTCATATCAAACTGACCTGTTACTGATGTTATCGTGGCTGGTGGCCCAAATTAATTACCCGAATCCTGACCCTAATCCTAACCCTAACCCTGACCCTGCCCCTGACCCTAACCCTCCACCCTTCATAATTGTGAGAAACAATTTTTGGGTTAAACTTGTTTGGACTTATTGTACAAACCTATTTAACATACACTATTTTAACATAATATTATGGATAGAGTTTAATTAAGTGTTTGAAAGATTAATTTCACTATTTTTAAATTAATGTCTATATTGCCATGAAGCATTACTATTTTCTTGCCTGGGATTTTCCTTTTGGTGACGTAATCAAAATGGCCGATTTGGATGTGGGCTAAGACGGATATGTACTTGATTAATGGTGGCATGTTATTGTTAGCCATTAGCCACAGCTAGCAATTCAAGGCTAACGTCACGTTAATGATCATAAACAACGTAAATAAATATATACCGTAAATAAATCTGAGAGAAGGGGCGCAGCGACGGCAGGTCAGCGTCGCGCGCGCGCTTGCGCGGGCTCGCGCGGACTCGCACGGGCTCGCGCGGTGGTATCGATACTTTTGAAAATGAGTATCGTATCCGGATACAACATTTTAGTATCGATACTTTTTTAAGTATCGATACTTTTGACAACCCTAAAAGGGACCACAAAAGCGCCAATAAAGGTCCTATATTGTAGTTTAACCATCATGAAAAGTTGTCAAAATACCTCTGTTTTGAGACTTTGCGCAGACAGACATAAAGACACATGGTCTAAGTTATTTTTTCTAAACTGATCGATCAGTCCTGAGATGATCCTGAGAAGGCAGCGGCTCTGTAGATGAGAAATGATGACGACTGCTGCAGGATACATGATCACTTAGCCCAGAGGAAGTGGTCTCTGCCTCAGACACCGAACACCAGTGAGTCAGGCTGCTTCTTCACGCATTCACACCACGGCCGTGATGTCATTTGTCACATTATATCTTTGTTCTTCTCACTAGATTTTGGTTTCATTTGTGTTGAGGTCATGTATATGTGTTTTTTTTTGTTGGGGGGTCTTTTTAAGCCCCCCCCCCCCCGTGTATCCATGTTTTTCGTGGGCTGCTACAGTGTGAGCAGATCAGGGAAACTCTCTGAAGCTGCCCTGTGAAGCAGAAAACACAAACACATTTAAAGACCACAGACTAGATTCCTACTCTCTGACGGAGACCTGGATTTTTGTTTTCTGCACACCAGGGCTGGGAACGTTTTGTTTTTAAAAAATCTGGTCCTGGTATCTTCAACATACCTGCTTTGTGTGGTTTCAGATGAAAAAAAAATTGACTTCCTTTTTTGTGGTTTTACATTTGAATAGATCACATTTTGTCTGTTTTCCTGGAGCTCACAGCCTCACTTTTTAGGTTTTCTGTGCATTTATCTGACTATATATGCATGACTCGTTTCTATATCGTAGTTTAAGGAAGGAGGTTAAGAAATGGCAGTAAGGAATTAGCTAAAAAAGTCAAAATCAGCGTGTTCACTCTCAGCTTACATGTGCGCTCATTTTGTTTTTACCCCAAATCTGAGACGAACAATTTTAGCCCACCCTAACAGACGCCGAGTCCCTTTAAATAAATAAGCAGGGACAGTCTCTCAGCCCACCAAATGTAGGCCAAATTCACCCCGGAAATGCTCCCACACACACACAGACACACACACACACGCCTCTGCCTCCCATTTATCCTCCTGGCATCAAACTGGTATCCATAAACACGCCCACATCCTTAACTGGTTCACTGTGACAGACAAACA